CCTCTGCCTTCAGCTCGGGTTGTGATCTCAGGGTCCTGGGATCGAGTCCCACGTCGGGCTCTCTGCTTGGCGGGGAGCCTGCTTCCTCCTCTCTTCCTACTTGTGATCTCTCTCTGTCAAATAAATAAATAAATTCTTTAAAAAAAAATCAGCGGTGACCTATAAAGTAACATGTTATTTATACCTTAGACAAATTTCTGCCAATGCATCAGGAACATGGTGACTTTTCTCTCTTTTTCATTTTAGTTTGTGTTACTTAGAGAAGAGCTAAGGGTTCTGTCAACTTGGCGTTAAAATTTTCCTGGCAGGGTTTCCATGCCAAGGAAGTATTGAAGCAAGTATGGTCAGAACAGATATTTTAGGCAAATTCTGTCTTCTGCCACTGGTTCAGCGAAAGGGTCATTAAATCCTTCTTCTAAAACTACTTATTACCAGGTAAATATAGATATCAAATGTGGAGATTAGGTAGCATTCTAATTAAATTTGTATTAAGGCAGATTAAGAAATGGCTCTTCCTACTGATTATAAACCCAAACTAGGATTGAGCTTTATATTTAGATTTCCTGTTGTAGTCCCCTGGGTATGTCCCATGGATGTTTTGTATCCAGAGAAACTAGTTGTCACTAGATGTCTTTTTGTCCAGTGTCTACCACAGGCAGTAGGATTGGGTGCACCAGCAAGGGAGGGGAAGGAACCCCGAGGTTAGTTGGAAAGGGATCTTTATTTCAGGATTAGGAGGGTTTCTTAGGGCTCTGTCTGTGTGATTTGCTGCTGTTCGAGTTCTCATATGCCGGATAACCCATTTGAATTCTTCTCTACGCTGAGTGGTATCAGTGACGGGATTGGATTGAGGAAGAGCGGTGAGAGAGACCACCTTGCCTTGTTCCTGACCTTAATGGCGTATGCTTGGCCTTCCGTCTTGTGCCATTTCTCTTAAACGCTAGCTATGGGTTTGGGGTAGATGTTCTTTATTGACTTGAAGGCATTCCACTTCATTCCTGTTTTGGGGGACTCGGGGACGTGGGAGTTTTGTTCCCCTTGAATGAGTGTTGAGTTTTGTCAAGTGCTTTTTCCACATTGATTGATATTATTACCATGGGATGTTTCTTTTTAGAGTATTGATATTGTGGGTCACGTTGATTGATTTTTGAATATATAGCCAACCTTGCATCCCTGGGATGAGTTCCGTGGTCTACAGTGCTTTAAAAATATTGCTGAATTTTATTTGCTAACATTTTGTTAAGGGTTTCTACATCTATATTCATGAGGGCCATTGGTCTGCAGTTTTCTTTTTTTAGACTCTCTGTCTGGCTTCAGGATCAGTGTGAGAGTGACTTCATAAAATGAGTTGGAAGGTTATCCCTCCTCTCATTTTCTCTAAGACATCATGAAGAATTGGTATTGCCTCTTACTGAAACATTTGGTAGCATTCTCCGGTGAAACCATATAGGCCTGGAGAGTTCTTTTTCATGAGTTTTAAATTTAGAAATTCAATTTCCCTAATAGTTATAAGGCTCCTCAAATGGTCCATTTCCTATTGGGTAAGTTGTGATAGTTCTTGTTTTCTGAAGAGTTGGTCCATTTCACATCTAATTATCGAATGTCTATGTGTAGAGTTGCTCGGAGTATGGCTTTATCATCTTTTTGATATCTCCAGGGGCTGTAGTGATATCCCGTGTGACTCCTGATATTGGTAATTCGTGTCTTCTCTCTCCTTTTTTTCCCCTCTGTCGGTCTTGCTAGAGGTAGACAATTTTACTGATCTTACCAAAGCACCAGCTCTGTCTTCGCATCATGTTTGGCCACCCAGGAATCTCCACACCGGCCACTTCCTTCCTTTCGATTCATGTCTCTCCATTCTACTTGAGATAGTTAACATTTTGTTTCAACTGCCATCACCCATTCCCGTGGCCCTTCCTTCCCTCTTCTGTTTCTTGGCAGGCTGTCCATTACTGTTTACCTTCCTTTTCAGCCTGGCTTTTGGAAGGTGACCACATCTTGCTGGTATCTCCAAAAGCTCTCATTTTTATCAAGACTGGCTTACATCATCGCACAAAGTTTCTGTGCATTCCAAGTAGAACCATTATCGCTACACTAGAGAAAACTTGCTTGATAAAAAACCCAGAAGAACCCGGTAGCGGTCACTTTTGAGTATGTCTAAGAGTACAGCACCATGGCAGACTGGAAGTGCAGTGTCTGGTTCAAGTCCTGGCTCAGCCCCTGACAGTCTCAGATATAGGCAAGGTGCCTCCGCGTTGCTCTGCTTTGCCCAGTTAGGCCCCATGAAGCCACCAGGTAGATCTGAGATCTTGAAATAGCGTAAAGCTCCCAGAAACTGGCTATGCCCCACTTGTCATCACTTGGAAGTGACAAAATTGGCCCAGATTGCTGCCTTTTGGTCTTATTTTCACTCTACCCAGCATGGCCCAGCTGGACGATTCACTGTCACAGGAACAGTCCTTCCTTGAGCATTGCTGTTTCGATAGCTGTGCTTCTGGAATCTTCCCTGCCTGGAAAACTCTTCTACTGTTTTCTCTCCTGGTTTGAATTCTCACCACCCTCCAGGACTAGATCAAGTGCCCCTATAAGGCGCCCGGGTGGCTCAGTCAGTTAAGCATCTGTCTTTGGCTCAGGTCATGATCCCAGTGTTCTGGAATCAAGCCCTGCATCAGGCTCCCTACTCAGTGGGGAGTCTGCTTCTTACTTTCCCTCTCTCCCTCCCCCCACATGTGTTCTTTCTCTAACTTGCTCTGTCCCTCTCAGATAAATAAATAAAATCTTAAAATAAAGGTGCCCCCTGCCTAGCAAAGTCTTCCCTGACCATCCCAGCTCAAACTGATGGTCGCTCTGAAGTCCCGTAGGAATCACTGCCAGTGCCATCAACCGAAGCCTTCAGTAGCTTTCTGTCTGGACGTAATATGGGTCAGGAGTGCAGGCTGTTCTTCAAGCACATACCTGGGCTTCAGTCTTGGCTCTGCCATTCCAAGATATGTGCCCTTAGGCAACTGACTTCATCTCCCTGACCTCAGTGACCTCTTCTGCAAAATGAGATCCTCTCTGCCTGACAGGGCTGTTGTGAGAATCAAATAAAATGTCTTAAAAGCTACTAAGTACCAAATAAATATAAAGGATTTTTTAAAAGATTTTATTTATTTATTTGGCACAGAGAGACACACAGAGAGAGGGAACACAAGCAGGGAGAGAGGGAGAGGGAGAAGCAGGCTTCCTGCTGAGCAGGGAGCCTGAGTGGGCCTTGATCCCAGGACCCTGGGACCATGACCTGAGCTAAAGGCAGACGCTTAACGACTGAGCCACCCAGGCGCCCAAGGATATTTTTAAAAATGAGTATTCAGTTAATTAACATAGAATGTATCATTGGTTTCAGAGGTAGAGGTCATCTTATATAATACCCAGTGTTCATTATATCACATAAAGGATATTTTTAATATAATAATAATAATTAAAAGCCAAGGATAGATGAGAAAATATTCATGAAATAACATTGTGCTAGGCGAATTACAGAGGAGCACTTGGCTGGCTCATTTGGTCGAATCCGCAACTCTTAATCTTGGGATCTTGACTTCAAGACCCACCTTGGGAACAGAGATCGCATAAAAAAAATTAAAAAAAAAAGGTTGTTAGGAGAATTACAAAACTGTAAGTCAAATAAGAAAGATCCCTGTGTGTGTGTGTGTGTTCACAGATACATATATAAAAAGAGTGGGAGGCATATTTTATAATGTTACTCTAATGATGGTTAGCTCTGAGTGATGGGCTAATCATTGGTTTTTATTTTCTTTTCTAAAATTTGCATTTTTTAGGGTGGGACTGTAATAGATTTAAAACTAGAAAGCATTTTTCAAAAAGGAAAATCAAGCATGATGATATCTTATCGTTTGGTTATTTATATATACTCCACCATGCTTCAGAACGAGTTTAAAGCGTCATATAATACAGGAAGATAGAAATGGAACATACAACAAAGTGAGCAAAGGAGAAAATGAGGATAGGATAGGATAGGTCTTGTATTTATCTTAAGTGTTTTTTTTTAAAGGAAGAATGTATTAGGATGTCTCTTACTCATGAGTTTGAAAGGTAAGAGTAACTTCGTAAAAGAAAGCATTTTATCGCTGAGTGTCATGATATTAAAATGATACATCAAAGAATCAAGAATTTCCTGCTAGTTTTCAGTGTGTTAGAGATTCTGATTATTTTGAGAGCCCCAACAAAGGATGGTTGCTATTCTCTGTATTATATTATACTTGTATAATAACTTACAAGTTGTAGGGGCGCCTGGGTGGCTCAGTGGGTTAAGCCTCTGCCTTCGGTTCGGGTTATGGTCTCGGGGTCCTGGGATCGAGCCCCACATGGGGCTCTCTGCTCAGCAGGGAGCCTGCTTCCCCCCTCTCTCTCTGCCTGCCTCTCTGCCTACTTGTGATCTCTCTCTCTCAAATAAATAAAAAATCTTAAAAAAAAATAATTTACAAGTTGTAAATATGTATATTTGGTTAGCGTTGGCCTTGCTTATCTGTTTTGAGTAAGTTGAGTGGAGAGACAGACTCCAGTAAATAAACATGGCCAAGTGGAGAGAAATTCTTGCCCTGGCCCTGCCACTCATTAGCTAGGCTTGTTTTTTTTAATATAAATTCCATTAGCTATCATTATTATTTGATATAATCGATGATTCATCAGTTGCATATACCACCCAGTGCTCATCACACCACGTGCCCTCCCCAGTGTCCATCACCCATTACCCACCTCCCCTCCAGCAACCCTCAGTTTGTTTCCTGGAGTCAACTCAGGGATTGAGGGGGCCTGGACAAGTTCTAACTTGGACCATCTAGAGTTTAGTCAAGTTAGAGTTTTACTTGTCGAGGAACGTACATTTCCACTTATCCTTCCATTCGACAATATTTATAGTAGGTTAGTTGACCGACATTATAAAAGTGTTCCTCTTAGCCTTCTACGTTATTAACATAATTTAAATGTCTTTTTTGCAGAGAGACCTCTGTCCCCCAAGGCTGTCAAAGGATTTGAAACTACTCCGCTTACCAAGAACTATTATACTGTGGTGAGTGTTCAGATCATAACCAAAGAGTTTCTTGCCTGTCTCTATGGAATCTTTTCACTGGCTGAGCCACTGATGTGTTGAGGTGACATGGGAGACTGGGTAAGCTATTGCAAGGATCTGATGTCTGCTTATAGGCCTCAGACAGATGGCTAGAAGTTTTGCCTTCACTGTACTGTAAGATTCAAAGGTAGTGCAAAGATGGAGAGCAAGGTCCATTAAACAGTGCCAAAAGAGAAATCGGTTCACATGGAGGCGTTACAGGGAAATTCGGAAGGTAGATGTAGCCTTACCAGATACTTAGAAGGTGAATTCCCAAGTTCCTCTAAGCAGTAAGTTTTAAGTGATTACATACTGTGATTTTATTTTAGAATCAATCAATGTGTTATGATGTCCTCGGAAATGTTATCAACCTTGTGTTCGAGGACAGCCTGAAGGGAACACTGCCCTTTGGCACAGAGGGAGGAATGGCATGGCTCTGGCTTGAACACAGATATGTCAAAATCTATTAGCTATAAATAGGGCCTGGGCAGGATTCAAAATAAGTTCCCATTTGAAAAAAAAAAGTCATGTTATTCTCCTTAATCTTCTCTCTGCTTTCCTTCATGTCTCCTTTCCAGACTTGGCCTAATCACTAATGAAAAGGTCGAGCCATCCTAACCTCTAAGTTTTCCTGTCTGGTAGCTTTGTCGTCGTCTGCCAGCTCGGCTGAAATAGTGTCACTTTTCACCCAATGCTGGATGTGCGTTGGGACGGCATCCTCCTTTCCTTTTGCTCATGGATAGTTTTTAAACATCTCTATACGTTTTCAAAAGACAGAATAGCACTCCTTAGTGAGTTTGCTCCACAATGATGACATGAGCAGTAGTTGGTGTGAAAACCCAGGAAGGAGCTTGCTTCATAGGTGACATGGACAATAATCGTAGGTGACAGTTTTATCACTATTTTTCTTCTTACATTTCTGAGGTTAAGCTATATTACCCAACAGAGCCGGGCTCCCTTCTCCCTTCCTCTGTGACCATTTCTTTTAGCTTCCAGGTGACCTCCAGTGATTTATTTTTTTTAAGATTTTATTTATTAATTTGATAGAGAGAAAAAGAGAGAGAGAGAGCGTGAGCCAGAGGGGAGGGGCAGAGGGTGTGGGACAGGGAGAGAATCACAAGCTGAGTCCCCATTGAGCACAGAGCCCAGTGGCGGGCTCCATCCCACGACCCTGCAGTCATGACCTGAGCTGAAATCAAGAATCAGAAGCTTAACCACCTGAGCCACCCAGGCACCCTGCCAGCTGCCCCCCAGCCCCCGCCACCCCAATGATTTAATTTTTAAAGAAAGGATGCTGTCAAATATGGTGGATGAAAATATTACCATAGCTGCTTCTCCCTGCTTTGGAGCTGTCTCTACCTCTGCTGATTCTACCAATTTAGTATTTCAAGTTTTTTATTTAAATTTCAGTTAGTGAACGTACAGTGTATTATTAGTTTCAGATGTACAATTTAGTGAAATCATACTACAAAGGTATCTGCCTTTCTCTATGTCACCTAACATAATACTCTCTAGCACCATCCATATTGTGAATGACAAGATTCATTCTTTTTTGTGGCTGATTAATATTCCTCTTGTGTGTGTGCGTGCACATGTGCGTGTGTCTCAGAAAGTTAAAAATAGAACTACCTTATGACCCAACAGCCACGCTACTAGGTATTTACCCAAAGAATATGGGAACACTAATTCAGCTTAACTGACTGAGCCACCCAGGTGCCCCTTACCTCTCTGATTCGAATGAGCCTTCTGTAAATCTTATGTACAAATTCTGGATGTCCTGCAGTCTGTATCTCCCACCTCCTGTTGGAGTTCACGTGCATCGCTTCTAGGTCCTTGCTGCTATAGAAACAATTCTGAAGCGAGCATCGTATACATAGGACTTTGGCAAACTATATCAAGATGTATAGAGTGGATTCCTAGAAGTTAAATTGTCCAAAGGCCTGAGAACCAGGAGAGCCAATAATGGTGTAAGTTCTAGTCCAAGGGTAGGAGAAGACTGATGTTTCAGCTCAAGAAGTCAGGCAGAGAGAATGATCCTCCCCTCCTCTACCTTTTGGTTCTATTCATGCTCTCAGCAGATTGGATGATGCCCAGCCGCACTGAGGTGGGCCGTCTGTTTTACTCCCTCTCCCAGTTTGAAGGCTCATCTTTTCTGGAAACGAACTCACAGACACACCCAGAAATAATGTTTAAGTTGGGTACCTTGTGATCCAGTGAAGTGACATGTAAAATTAACCATTACGGGGCACCTGGGTAGCTCCTGTGGTTAAGCATCTGCCTTTGGCTCAGGTTGTGATCTCTGGGTCCTGGGATCGAGCCCCGTGTCGGATGCCTGGCTCAGCGAGGAGTCTTCTTCTCCCTCTGCCTCTCCCCCTCCTGCTCGTGCACGAGCTCTCTCTATCTCTCTCTCTCAAATGAATAAATTTAAAAAATCTCAAAAAAAAATTAAATTAACCATACATCCTATGAACTTGGGCAGGATAGAGACTTCTTGAATTGGCAAGTCTGTGGATATTATCTCCCCCTTTTCAAGTTTCCACGGGATCGTCTGTTGATTTCTGCCCCATTCAGTCCTTGATGCAGTCTGGTGGCACATCAGTGTGTCCGACTGCGGCTGGGCCACTCCTGGCCTGCTGCTCTGAATGGGTATTGAGCTCGTGTTGCCCCTGACCTTGGTTCCTTCCACGTGCTCAAGATACACTGCCATTTGTTGAACTTTTTTCACCGTTGCAAAACAGTGTATCATTTTTCTATTCATTGTGTTTCTGATAATCTTATCGTGCTCCTTAGCTTTCGTTGCCCATCATAACTTAAGGTTATGTGCCAGGAAGTATTTAAAAACAAAGCAACAAGAAAGGAAAATGGCAACAGTGTGTGGGGAGGGATGCTCATTTTTTTTTAAAGATTTTATTTATTTATTTGACAGAGATCACAAGTAGGCAGAGAAGCAGTCAGAGAGAGGAGGAAGCAGGCTCCCTGCTGAGCAGAGAGCCCTATGCGGGGCTCCATCCCAGGATCCTGGGATCATGATCTGAGCCAAAGGCAGAGGCTTCAACCCACTGAGCCACCCAGGCACCCTGGGAGGGATGCTCATTAGCTCGGTTTTTGTGATTACTTTGCCATCTGCACCTGTTATCAACCTCCCATATATATACTTTTTATTCGTCAGTTTTACCTCAGTAAAACTGAAAAAATAGAGACCAGAAAAAGGAGTCTAAGTGGCTTCATTATCAGGCTTAATTTTATACACAACCCCTAGGTCTTGGCAGCCACGGCCCCACTGGGAAGGCAGGACAGACGTGATAGTGTAAGCCACGTGGCAAACGATGGAAAGTTACGAACTGTCCTAAGATGGGTTTCTCAAAATGTGGTTGAGGGATCCTGCCTCCGAAGCCCCCTGGGAAGCTTGTGCAGCTATCTGGGCCCCACACCTGACTTGCTATACCTCAGAATCTCTGGCCCCAGATCACAGGAAACCGCATTTTAAACAACACCTTCAGCCCCTTCCTTGCCCCCCCCACCCCAGGTGAGTCTGAAGCTCACTAAGCTGCCGTTTGGAGAACGAGTAAAGGGAAAGGGTTCAGTGGAAGATGGGCTTCCAGCGTGCCAAGACTTAGATAAGCAGAAAGGAGCTGGAAGGGGGTTCGGGCAGGGTGGTGGGGGCACTGTCTGGGCAGCCCCCCGGGTGAGAGTGTGCACACCTGCAGTCCACCGCAGCAGCGATGGCCAGCATTTTTTTTTCCCTTTCTTCCACTGCATTGTAACTTGTGGCAGATGCCTGAAGGGTGTGTCTTAAAGAACCTGCATCCGGTAGGAAAGATGGGAAGCGGGTGGCATGTTAGAGCGCAGAAAAATCCCACGAAACCTCCTGCAATTTCTGCTCTCCCCACGCACCTGTTGCTTACTCCATTCTTCTCTTACTCATCTGTCTGCCCACTTGTCCCCACCCTGAATTTTCTCTCCCTTCTCTAGTGCTTACCCACCTGCCCCCAGTTTTTTAAGGCTTTATTTTATAGAGAAGTTTAGGGTTCACAGCAAAATTGAGTGGAAGGTACAGGGATTTTTCATGTACCGTCCCCCCCAGCCCCTGCCCCAGCCACACTCATGCACAGTCTTGCCTACTATTGGCATCTCCCACCAGAGGAGGGATTGGCGACAACTGAAGAATCGTTATCCTTTAATGTCCGTAGTTCACATTAGGGTTCACTGGTGGTGTGGAGTGTCCCCCATATCCCGTGTACTTTTTCACCTACCCCCTTTCCTGCCTTACTCATCCGTACACAGTTGAGCCTTGAACAACTCAGGGCTTAGGGGCGCTGACCCCCTTTCGCTGGCGCACCATTGAAAACCCATGTATAGCTTTCGACTCCCCAAGAACTTAATTGATAGCCTGCTGTTCACCAGAAGCCTCGCCGAGAACACGAACAGCTGATAACCACCTATTTTGTATGTCACGTGTGTTATATGCGATGCTCTCACAGTACAGTAAACTAGAGAAAAGGAAGGTTTTTTTTAAGATTTTATTTATTTGTTTCACAGAGAAAGACAGCGAGAGAGGGAACACAAGCAGGGGGAATGGGAGAGGGAGAAGCAGGCTTCCCACTGAGCAGGGAGCCCGATGCGGGGCTCGATCCCAGGACCCTGGGATCATGACCTGAGCCAATGGTAGACGCTTAACAACTGAGCTACCCAGGCGCCCTTAGAGAAAAGGAAATGTTATTAAGAAAATCATAATGAGGAAGAAAAAATACCTTTACAGTATTGTACTGTATTTATTGAAAAGAATTTGCATCTAAGTGGACCTGCGAGCTTCCAACCTGTGTGGCTCGAGGGTCAGCTGTTCATCGTCCATCTGAAGGCCAGAGGTAGAGGTGGTGACAGGATTTGCTGAGTCTGCTGAGAGGGAGCTAGTGCTGCTTGGTTCCGGGAAGCCCAGGACCTGGAGGTGTGAAACCAGCCAC